TCAATGAACACTGGAGAGTCTTATACATTTTGCTTTCAATTCTTTTGAATACTGTTCCAAAAGCAACATGATTAACTTGTATTGTAGTTCTATTTTTACTTTCTTAGAGAGTTTCCACACTGTTTTCCATAGCTGTTATACCATTTCACATGTACACTAACAATGCTCAATAGAATCAATTTCTCTACGTCCTTACCCACAGTTAGCTATTCTATCAGGGATAAGATGATGTTTCATTATCTCACTGTGATGTTTAGCTGTAGTTCCTCAATGATTAGTGATGCTAAGAATTTTCTCATATACATACTGGTCATTTGCATATTTGGGACAAATGTTATTTCAGTTTCTTTGTACATTTTTATGTGAGTTCATTTTTGTTGATTTGGTTTTTCTTCTTGATATTGAGTTGCAATGATTACTTGGACAGTATTCCAAAAGTAAAGCAACAAAAGCAAAATAGAGACTATGTCAAATTGTAAATCTTTACAGCAGAAGGAATAATCAACACAGTGAAAAAATAACCCACAAAGTAGAAGAAAATATTTGTAAAGTACATATCTGTTAAGATAAATATGCAAAAATATTCATAAGACTCATATAACTGATGGCAAAACACAAACAACCAAACAAACAAGAATGAAACAAATTCCATTGAAAAATTAATAGAAATATCTCCTGTCCTAGAAATTGAACATGTTTTAGTTATTTTTCTCTTTATTAAAATATAAATGTTCAAAAAGACAATGCTTCAAATTCTTTTCAGCACTGAAATTCTCTTCTGCTCCATGTGTGGGAGCTAATTTTCAAAGCTGTCCGATCACCAATTCCTTCCTTTTCTGTAACATTCCTCTCACTGAATCTTGATTGGCCTCAGTAACTTGCTTGGCCAATAGGGTATGTCACTTTTGGGATTCCCAAGTCTGAACAGTAAGAAATCTTGGAGCTTTAGCCTGTGTTTGTTAGAATACCAGCTCTGGAGTAGCGAAGGGCCATTATCTCAGGGAAAGACAAGCAAGCTGCATGAAGCAACGTGGGAAACTAAGTCTCCAGCTATGCCTCACCTACTCTTTTCCTCTCAGCTAAGGTACCGGATCTGGGAGGTAAAAAGCCTTCTTGTCTATCAAGCCTAAGCACACTTTCAGGTGCTACCTGCCCCACCTGCCATCTAATCAGAACCACATGAGAGAACCCTGGGAAGAACTGTCTATCTAAACCTAGTTAATTCCAGTTAACTTTCAGAAATACAAGAAACAGAAGTGAACTATTATTGAAGTATTGTGAACTCTGTGTATCAATAGACAGTTAAAACAGAAAAAGACAATTGCTATTAGAAGCAGGAACAGGAGTGGCAGAGAAGGTTTTGAGTTTATGGTCTTGAAGGTATGAAAATATTTTGAGCGAAAATATGGAGACAAAATTAAACCCAGGGTACATGGGGCAACATCAGATACTTTAATATCAGTTTGTTAATAAAATTTATACCAGCATTTTAAAATTGTATTTAATAAAAACATATAATTAAAAATAAAATTCAAAATAAACCTTGTATATATATATATATATATATATATATATATATGCCTAATGTAGGTGATTAAAATCAAGACCAACAGTTATGAAGTATCAAATGAGAAGAATTTTCTGCATAACATCTAAATTGTTTATTTTTTCATCTTTTTTCTAGTTTTTGCCTCTCATGCATCAGAAACAGACATTCTCTAACACTGGTCCATTGCAATACTAGTATTGTAGTTTTCCATTCTATGGAGACCAACTAAGTAGTTACAATAGTAAGCTGATTGCATTTAGGAGAAAATAGATGAGTCTGGTCCAGTTCCCATTTCTGCATATACTAAGACATTAAAAAAATAAACCTTTAGTCTAAATATTTTTATTGTTATTCTTTCTTGTCTTAACTTATCAACATATCATGTAGGTTTTTCATATCATTAAATGTTGCTTTGAAATATGATTATTATTGACGGAACATTATCCCATCTCTGTGTCTTTATCACATTTAATCACCTCCCAAAAATGGACTTTCAGTTTACTAATGTTTCTTTCTTTTAAGTAACTTTTGATGTTCATCTTTAAACCAGTATCAGCATCCGCGAGAGTTCTCTTAAGTTCCCAAGGGGAAGAACGACGAGAGGATGAAGAAGATAAACATAGGAACAGAAAGCTGGGCTCAGGAGGAGCCCTTCACCCGAGGGGAGGAAGAGAGTGCTGGACCACCAGTGCATGTATTTATACACTTGTAATGCAGCCCCTTTGCTTAACTAGCTCACTTCTTACACTCCATGTTCTCCCACGTCCTGAGGGCTGGAACATCCATTCACCTCCAGCACTTCATGCCCTCAGGGAATTTCACAGGTACCCTGTGCCCTTGGGGCACTCCTGTTCAGGTATTTGTGCCTTCGGCTCCACATGTGTGAAATATCACTACTTCAGTGTCTCCCAACAGCTAGTTGTACACATGGATAAAATTTTGCTTAAGAAATGAATAGCTGATCATTACTGTATATATTAATCATACATATCATGATAAAAAGTAAGACATTGAAAGATGAAATTTAGTTAAGGATAGACAGTAATTTAACACAAATTCCACCCTATTTTTGTCCCAAATAATTATTTCTTTCCAACTGAAGGTCTGTGATAGCTAACTGTTGTGTCAGTTTGAGTAAGAAATGCATAGCTTTTGGCTTGGCATCGTTCTGGGTGTGACCAAATGATGGACTTACTGAAGAAGGAAGACCCATGCTAGGTGTGAGATGCACCAACCAATAGACTTGTAGCCTGGATAGAATAAAAAGGGAAAGAAAATGAGGTCTCACTTTTGCCTCTTTGGAGGAGCTCCACACTTTATCATTGCCTTTGAATGTCCATCTTGAGCCTTCAAGCTCACTCTTTGGTTTCCAGTGTAAACTCTAGGTTCCTGATACTGACTCCAGGGGAACCCTACAGTTAGCTCCAGGTCTTCCACTTTTGACTGGATCATTTGGCTCTGCACCATGCAAATGGCCCTTTGTATTCTTCCACACTTGACACTGACAGTGACCATTGTAAGCCTATCCTATAAAATGCATGTATTTTATGCCAAACAAAAAGTATACATAGGAAAAGAAAAACTTGCATAAATATTTAAATGCTAAATTTACTGAAACACCGTGAGATTAATATAAGTGCCCCTTGGCCTCTGCAATTGCAAGAGGTGCTCAAAGTGGTGATGGTTACCTTCCAGACATTTATTAGTGTGTCAAACTGCTGTTGGGTGGCCTTGGTCATTGAGAATGCTGCACATGCATTTTCAGTGTCTTCTCTAAGCTGGCAATGTAGCGGGTTTTCTGTGATATATAACATCCTCAAGGGTCTCCCATACAAGATAAAATCAACTGTTGAAAAACACAGTGCTATTTTTGTTTTCTTCAAGTGTGTATGTTTTTTGGCAGACTCTTTGCCTGTGTCTCTGTATATAATATAAATATATGTTATCTTATATCTGTTACTGAACTCTAACTGAAACACAACCATAGCACAAGTGCTATAAATCTTAAAATAAGAAAAACTTGAAGTGGTTGCACTTTTAAAATTCTAGTCAAACATTGTATTAATGATGACAGGTCACTTTTATGTGTCTTATGCATGTTCTGAAGCAATATTGTATTGTTACATAATCACTCAAATGCTCATTTAAAGTTCAGCTTTTTAATTTTCCAACCATCTGATCTTCAGCAGATTCTTTAAAGAACTTTAATATTACTACCTCATTGTAAAGGAGACTTGTTCCATGTATGTATGTGCCATAATATCTAAGCACAGTGTAATAGGTCAAACATTATGTTTAATTTTCCAAAAATAGGTGCAGATAATAGATGATAGATTTGTGTATTATCTCTAACTCCATTTCACAGATTTTTTCCTTTTTTCTTTTCTTTTTTAATATTGTTATAATTTAGCAAGATACATTGTTTTCATATTTATTATTCTTCATATAATTTTATCACAGCAAAAAAGTATGTTATGTAGGGTTTTTTTTAAATAAACTTTGTTAAGTGATCTCAGACATCAAATCAAAAGAATGCAAGTTCAGTGATTTTTAACTCTGGGCAGACTAGAGTGAACAGATGATTGTGAGCAAATGGATATTCAGATAATATCATAAAAAAAAAGCTTTGCTGAAGAAAAGCTATTAAAGGTTCACAACACTAATCGGGTTGTCTTAGTTACTTTCTTCATTGGTGAGATTCAATACCCAACACCCACAATTTAAAGAAGAAAAGATTTATTTTGGCTTGTAGTGCTTTTAATCCACAGCCAGCTGGCTCCAAGGCAGGTTGACGTGGCAGAGAGTCATGGCAGAGGGGAACCAGTTTAGGATATCACACGTAGAGAGCATGGAGGGATGGGGGGGGGATTCACCCTTCCAGGCCACCCTTCCCCATCTATGTGCATATGAGGCTTTTGGGAGACATCTGGATATAAACCATAACAAGGAGGGAAATTTTAGAAGCTCCTTTGATAAAAATACATGATCAAAAATCTTGTGATCAGAATACCTGTTGAAATTTATTCAAACTTTCTAAACTTTGATTTATTGTAAAGAAATCTTGCAGCTTTCCAAATCAATCCAAGAAAAACTATTACCCATGCTGAGAAAAAGAAAGTATTGAGAAAAAATATTACAATATTGAAATTGAGAAAAAGAGGAGAAAGATCATGAGAAGGATGGAATAACTTATAAAATTAATTTTTAGGTAACTAACTGCTTACAGGGTAGAACCGTGTTTATGTACCTGTCTTTCACACACAAGTTACTAATACTCCATGTAGTAATCTTTAGAAATGTATTTCAAATTGTTTTTTATTCTACTAATTGCAGTATTTTTGGATTTCATGTTTTCAGACAAAATACTGCTTCCTTTTTTTTTTTTACTGCTCATATTTCCTTCTTTGTTGTAAATTGAGAAATTTTAAATCCTAGGTTTTAAAATGAAGGACTGGAGGAATATTTTTATTAATATAATTGACCAATAGAAATGAGACTAAACACAAGCAAAAAAAAAAAAAAACTCACTGAGACAGAGAGGATAAACTGATATGCTTGTTATGGATGAAGAAAGACTGGACCAGCAAACGCCAGAAGGTGCACCTTAGGACTATCTGGAACCAGGTATTTTAATGCTTCAGAATTAGTTTTTGCTTTTTTTCAGGAGATATTTGGAAATAGTGATTTTGGTTTTTAATTGCATATTCTATAGAAATTTATTAATGAAGAAGCTAAGGTAGAGGACTGATTTTCTAAGATCACACAAGTAGTAATTGACAGAGTCAGAACTGAACATATGCCGTTCTGATTCCAGAGCTTAAAGCAGAAATATCACTTTATGAATACTGACCTTGTCTCCTTAATTACTTCTCAATTTGCCAGAATTTTAATTCACTAATGCCAATAATAGTTAAATACCGTGATTTAAAATTTATTTTTATGATTGTTGTGTTAAAATAAATAAAAATGGCACTATTGGAAGTTTAACTTTTATCTTAGGTATTTTGTATCATTTAAAAATACATAATATAAGTTACATCAAAATCCAACGTTTGAAATAAAAAACAAGACTCAAACCTTGTCAGCATTAATACCAACCTGACAATATATATCACTAGTGCTATGGAACATAAAATATGTTCTAAATATTTTGAAATTAATTTAAAATATTCTTTATCATCTATCTTTCAGTTACTAATCTAAGGGAATATTTTTATTATCCTTCACCATTATAATTATGTGCCTCCATAATAGTATTTAAGTGGATAAGCTGACCTACAGTAACACAAATTAGTGTTTTATGGGATTTTTCTCACTTCCCTGAAAACTAAATTTAATGTTTTTCTTACATGGTATACAAATACATCTCAGAATACCACACAACATCTGAAAAGAAAATTTAGTAGTAATTTCTTCTCCTACTTGTAATTCCTTGACTGTTTAAAAAATGCTATTACTGTACAATGTAAGATATGTTAATATAAATTTCCAAGTATCAGTTTTATAAATATTATATAACTTTTTAAAAGTAATCTAATAATTTAAAATCATGGTATCTACAGAAAAATTAACATTTTCATATCAAGAAAGAATGTGCAAATACTTTTCTTTATTTTTTTCCAGGAAAAACACTACAGTTCCTGGACACTACAATAATGCATATATGTGTCTTGATTACTTTTCTCTCATTCCTGGTACAAAATACCCAACACCCAAAATGAAGGAAGGAAAGGTTAATTTAGCTCACTGTTTGTGGAGGTTTCAGTCCATAATTAGCTGGCTCCAAAGGCAGGGTGGTATGGCACAGGGGCAATACTTCAAGGTAGCAGCCAGCAAAAGCAGCCAGAGGAAAATGGAGGGAGAACAAGTCTCTTTTCCTCCCTTATCTTGTATGCAGGCCATCCCCTACTCTCAGGGCAGAGGGAACACTCACAAAATCTCTGTGCCTTCCTCTTCACATGCAGAGGGTATTTACAAAGTAAGGATCCTGGACCCCTGTTAAGTCTCTTAGTTAAAGTTTTAAACTTTACAAGTTGACACAATGTATCAACCATAACAATATATATAAACACTATGAAGAGATTCTAAAAGGTGGAGAAAAAGAAAGAAACTAGCCAGAAGATTTGGGACCTGAGAGAAAACATAGCATTAAATTTCCTGGGTTTTCTTTTTGTGTTATGTATTCCAGGGTGGCGGCTGGAGAAAATGACAATCTGGAAATGCAAATGAGTACACACAAAATACCTTTCAAGCTGGATATCCCCGACCAGACGTCTAAAAGAAGGACAGCCTAGCAAGACAAAAAACTTTTAGACAATAAGAATTATGCTACAGGCAAAAATCACAGGCATAACAGGGAATCTGTTTCTAATAACAAATAGCCAATTCCTTGTTTTGGGGGGGAGGGGCTTACTGGGGATTGAACTCATGATCTTGTGCTTGCCAGGCAGGCATTTACATTCCTGAGCTAAACCCCTGGCCCCACAAGTAGCCAGTTCTTCATTCTTCTAGGCTTTGATGAGTTGCTCTAACCTCCTGGTCAGGCTGGTGTCAGAAAAGATCCAGTAGAGAGCCTGGACTTTCATTCTTACAGTGCTATAACAAATCTACAAACCCAAGAAGACCAAGTGGGATAACTTAGCCTCCACTTCTTTTGTTTTTTATGTTGTTTCTGTGAGGTAGGGTCTCACCATGGAGTTCAAGCTGGCTTTGAACTCACAAAGTAGCCCAAATTGAGCTCAAATTTGCAGCAGTTCTCTAGCCACAGCCTCCACAATGTTGGAAAACAGGTGTGGGCCTGTATTTGGTCCACCTGGTTTGACTTCCACTTCTACCCACAGAGATAGAGCTCTTAACAACACTTCTCAGGAACAAGCACCCTCCCCCTTGATGTCTGTAGGAAGTAGTAATGAGCCATCCTTGGTGTTCCTACTAAAAGGAAATGGGCAAAGACCTATTTGTCAATTGGAGATGGAGGAGAAAGAAATTCCATCTCCATCCCAAGTAACAAAGAGATCCTTCTGTAAGTGTAAGTGGAGACTAACTGAGGAATTTGTACTACTACCTTAACTAGCAGAGAAGCAGTGTCTACCTTTCCCTTGACAAAGATGAGGCCTGCTAAAATGTAACACTAAAATTAAATCTAGAATTTTAAAACATACAAATGTCTGGGTTTCAGTAGAAGGTCATTTGTCATACTTACAAACAGGAAAACTTTGATCTAACATTGTTTTATCATTACAGTCCAGGGAGGCGTGAAAAGGTGCCAGTTAACAAGTTTTTAAGTTTAGCAAAAGACAACTCTATGAAGCCTAGAACCTAGCGAACCACAAACAAACTCAAAGAAACCCACCACAAAGTCGTCATGCTCAAACGTCTGAACTTACAAAGTGGGCAGAAAGGACACCATGCTAAGGTAAGGAGAATGACAATAGATCTTTCATCAGAAACCGCGAGTTGAGAAGGAAGTAGCACAACATTTTTCAAGTACTGAAGGGAAGGATTGCCAACTCAGAAATCTGTATCCAATGTGAATACCTTCTAATAATGAAAGAAGTCAGGACACTTTCATAAGAAGCAAATCTAGAAGAGCCTGTCACTAGCAGATTTACTCTAAAAGAATTACTAAGAGGTGTTCTCTAAATAGAAGGAAAATGTTAAGGAATATTGGAGCATCAGGAGAAAAATAAATAAAAGCAAAAACAAAGCAAGTAAAATATGGCTTCTTCTGTCTTGAGTTTTCTGAATTAGGTTTGATGGTTGCAACAAAAATTATAATGCTGTTCAGTAGGAGTCTATATGTAAGTAAAACAATTGTACAGGAAGGAGGAAAAAGAAAGTATTTACATTTTGCTTGAATTTATAAAATCTTGATATTTGTAAATTATAAAATATGCATGTGAAATACAGTAGTCAAAACACAATAGGGTAATTTTTTATTTTTTTTTAACGGTACGGGGATCGAATTCACGACCACGCGCTTCCAAGGCAGGCATTTATGCCGCTGAGCTAAATCTTCAGCCCCAACACAAATAGGGTAATTAAAATAGAATTTTAAAAGAAGTTAACTACCAAGAAGGCTTGAGAAGCAAAACAGATATAATAAATGAAACAAAAAGTGAAATGGTAGATTTAAAAGCTAAAATATCATTTTTATTTAATATAAATAGTCTAAATATGCCAATGAAAAAATAGATGCTGGCAGAATGGATTAAAATATAATTCAGCAATGTGTTGTATATAAGAAATGCTCATCAAATAAAACAATCTAGAAAAACTGAAAGAGAAACAGGAAAAGATGCATACTCCAGAGTATTAATTAAAAGAAAGTAGTGGTATATAAACAAAGTATACTTCAGAGTAAAAATTTGCCAAAAATCAATTCAGATATTACAAAGATGAGTCACCAAAAGGATATATCAATCCTCAATGCATGTCTACGAAACATCAGAGCTATAATACATCTGAAACAAAGAAATATTTGAAGAATCCAATGCCCACCTCCAATTGACAAGGCTGTTGTCAGACATTCACGAAAATCTGGGACTGAACACAATTGTCAATACACAGGACCCTCCACTCCAGAAGAGCACAATGCATATAGCTTTCAAGGCCCGATGGAACACATACCAGGATGAACTGTATTGTAGCGTATAAAAGAAAATTTACCACTTTTTAAAGAATTGAAATTGCACAGATGGAAACAAACTAGAAATCAACATACTGACAAATATTGGGGAAAACCAAATATTTAAAGCTGAGTAAATATTTTAATATTTTTAATAAAACTTATTAAATATTTATTAATGTTTGTTGATGCTATTTTCAAAAAACGTTGAAAAAATTTATGACTAAACATACCACTTAATTTTAAAAGAAAATAGTGCCTTTTTCTCATATATAGATTATCTTCAAATACTGTTGCATTAATTAGTAAAGTAAGACTTGGAGGTAGTACAGGATTATTTTGTAGACTTTTGAAGAAATGCTAAAATAAATATATATGGAAATATAATATGAATTCAATACACACTATGAGTTTTATTTTTCTGTGAACAAATGCCTAGCAATAGACCTCTAAAATTGTTTCCTAATTCTAGATCTAATTTTCTCTACAAACTTAAAATTTATGCTACATTTACATAATGAGTTTTATGAAGATTTCTCCAAAGGTGTCCCTAAATTTATTTTCAGTTTTTAGGATTACAAAATAGGTTATTTTTCTTAGTAAATCAAAATTAAATTTAGTCAGATTAGCCAAGCAATTTAATTTTTCATTCTTTTTTTCATTCAATACTCTTTTATTCCATAGCAGAAAGCAATGTAAGAATCATTTGCAAGTGATGTGAAGAAAATAGGTAAAAAAATATTGCCTTCTTTTTATAGAACAATTAGCCTTTAAGGTTTTCCTGTTTTGATATAGTTTTTCATCTTTATTTTTGCTGATTTATCATAAAATTACCTCTTTCTAGGTTTCTTGAACCTCTATTTACAGTTTTATTAAATGTTTTTCAGTGTATTATAGTTAACATGGAAAAAACTGTAAGATTTAAATGTTAAACAACAGGGATTCACTGAAACTAGAAAAAGTTTTGAAGTGATCATTTAAAAATTATAACAGTTACACACTCACACATTTGTATCAGCTGCTAAATATTCTCATGATTTACTCCGTTATACGAGTTATGTTTAACTCAACAGGCTAGTGCCTGACTCAGATGTAACTGAAAGTAATAATTATTTAACAAACACTAATTGAACTTGGCTATTTTGCACCACTCACATTCTAATCAAGAAGAAAACCTGCCTGCGGCCCCTGATGTTAAGAGTTTCACTGTATGAGAAGCAATTTAAAATATATCTAAATATAATTTACATCATTAATTGTCACTGTGACAGACAAAGCAATAGAAGTGAGTTTTATCAAGTAGCTGTGATGGTATGCCACGCATATAACCTCTCTAAGCCTAGAGAGCTTCACTTGAAAATGATGATGTAAGATACTTTAAGGAGTGAGAGAAATATTTATATGACTCATAGTAAATATTTACTGAAATCACTTGTGATTGTTATAAATGTTATGTATTAATGTATTAGAAGCTTAAAATTAAATATTCTTAGGAACACAGAAGGCAGTGACATTGCTTTCTCACATGTGTAGATATTATTTGATCATTATGCAAAATAAAGCCTAAAAGAGATAGAGTGAATTGGATAAAAGAGCAGAAGGCTCAGAATCAAGTAACGGAAAGTGCTCAGAGCTCAAGTTTGCAATAAACTGTGTTTTTGGTAACTCTCTAAACTCCTTAGCCTTTTCCCTATACTAAGGAGATAACTTACTTGCTGCGTTTAAGGAAATATCTTTCAAGATAATAGATGTCAAAATTGTCTCTTATATTTTCCAGTACATAAAGGGTTTTCTATAAAAGGTAACAGATGTGATCACTATTAGAAAGCAAATACAGAGAACAAGAAGAAAGTTCTAATTTAGCTGTCTTTTTCACTTTTGTATATATTAAACCCTGAATCAATATGTCTGTTCATGGCTTCATTTGATTTTCAAGGTCTTCCTTCTTACTTAACTTCAATAGCATGGAGAGTATTAATATTGACCTTTCAGGAAATAAAGGGACAGAACAAAACCCATGTATCTTTCCCTTATTGGCCTAAACAGCTTCTCAGGAAAACACTTTATCATGTAGAGTGTCATTTTTCACTTTAATGCTGCAAGTCATAAAGTCTTATCTCTCTTCATGTCCAAACACTAAGATTGGCACATTTCTACAGCTCTGAGTGGGCAGGCCCCGTGAGTTATTGTAAAATTAGAAGGTTATGATGTACAGTTTAAGCTAATGAAAGTAGGCTTCCAGTCAGGATGTGGAGTCACTCCCTGTGGTGAGGCCATTAAATGGCCAGGAGTGAGACATGTCTATAATTAGGGAAGCATTAGGCATTAGTGATCCCAGTGACCGGAGAGCTTGTACGCAGTGGCCTAGTCAGACTGGCTGGCTACCCACCCAAAGCTATTTCCTCTATCGTCAACGTCAGAAGCAATGTAATGAAGACTGAACTAACAAATTCCACTGAGCTGAAACTACTCATTCAAAAAACAGAATAAAAGAAATTTAGTTTCTGAAAATTTAGCTTGAAATTGCATATCCTCAGGACAGAACAAAAACAAAGACATGACATGCAGCAAAGCAGTAGATTGATAAGGTAAAACAAGGCAAAACCAATACTTAAAATTTTACATAACTACTCCCAGAATGTATCATTATATATTTTTTGTCTTCAATCATTTCTTAGGTCGAAAATAAAAGAATCTACAAAATCACTAAATTTTTATAAAGAACAGATTTGTTCAAATTGCAGAAAGTGTCCGTTGGCAGGGATCTCTTTCATCAGCAGGCCAGAAGAACCAGAATATTTTGAAAATGTAGGCTCTGCAGATGATGGTGAAATGCTAGTCTTCATTGTTTCATGATGAGAGCATCCTATTAGCTGAGGATGAGCAAAACGAAAATTGATACAACTAAGGCTGTTATCAGTTAAAATATATTTCTGTGTTTTAAAACTTAAAAATTTCATTCTTTGCCTAATTGCATTCTTAGTCTTCAATAAAGTAGTAATTTACTACCTTTCACATATAAAACATCTGATTAACAAGGAAAAGGAAACAATTGTAAATGCCTATTTTGAAATCAGTTGTCTTAAAGTTTCATGCTCATAGTAATTCTTACAAAGCACCTTGTTTAATATTTCCCTATCAGTATTGGTAGTCCCCAGGTTAAGATCTAGATTTTATGATATCAGGCCTTGTATTCTTTCTAATAGGCTAAACTGCAGGTTAATAAATTTAGAATACATTTATGAGGATTTATTTTCTTATAGTTGTGAAATTCAAAGGTATTCAAATGCTATCTGTATTGGTCTAGAACTTGTCCACTGTATAGTCCAGTAATGTACTTATTGATTCATTTATTTTAACTCTTTTATCCATTGCTTAATCCCCTTTGCCTAGTACAGTGATTGGAAGATGGTAAGTATTTAGTAAGTATTTATAAAAGGAATAGCTTTACTGTGTGAGTACAAAGTGTGCCCTAATCTAGGAATGTAGTTCCTAGATTCTACTCCATGTGATCTACTCCATGTAGTCACATGGAGTTCTTGAAATATGAAACTTTTTTGAATAGTTGAAAAAGATAGTAAACAAATTATCTAGGTGATTTTAAAAATAAGTTTAAGAACATAAAATACTATATGATGAGAGTGTGGCTGGGGAAGAACTTTGGGCAGTTCTTTTTCAGGTTGGTTATATCTGAATAGAACACTGAATATTAAGAAAAAAGCCATTTGAGGGAAGACCAGAAAAGTTACTGCAGGGAAATGAGACAGCAAATACACAGGTTCTGAAGTACTAATAGTTTTGGTAATTTTGAAGAAGAGAGAGAAGGGTGGTTTGAGCTTTGGGAGTACATCTGACCAGGGTGGGAAGGGAGGTAAGCAAAACCTGGAAGCCAGATGTACACATGCACTACCGATTCAGTTATTTTAGAATTTGACAGTATTTTGGTTTACTTTGAGCTACATTTACTGCTGCTGATAATCACTGGTGAGTGTGACTTTAGGTAGTTAGGAAGTGCTTAGCTGTTAAGAAGACCAAAGTAGAGCAGACGATAATGAGCAGACATTCAACTTTGTCAATCTGATAGGATTAAGAGAGGTGATTAGATCATGAGGATGCTACTTTTATCAAGGGATTGAGTTTATGGCTGACTACTCCGTTAGGAAATAGAGCTTCTGGTAGATGAAGTGGGCCTCTGGGAGTATGCCTTTAAAAGTTGTATCTTTTCTTAGGGCTTTCCCTCTGTTTCTGCTCTCTGGCTGCATGAAGCAGGCAACTATGTTCCACTATACCCTTCTGCCCCGATGTTTCTACCTAGTCATGGGCCTAGAAGCTAGAGAGCCAAGTAACTGACCACAGGCTGAAGCCTCTGAGACTGTAAGCCAAAGTAAGTATTTCTTCCCTGTAGTGGATTTATGTAAGGTACAGTGAGGCCAAATATTTCTCAGATAGCTACCAATTCATTATTACTGTACAACTACTGTGTGTTCTCTGATATTTTAGAAATTACTTCTTAATTACCAAAGAATAGTAATTTCTACAAATATCAAAATTCTCCTTAGTGCATTAACTCTTTTTGTTCATAATTTAAAATTTTATATTTATAATTAACCAAAGTTACCTACATCAAGTTGTGAAAATTTGTTTTTTTAGTAATATTTAATAGTGAGGTATACACACACAAGTTAGACCAGCTGAATTATTATATACTTGGCTATTCTTGGCAAATTCATGTACTTGGAAAATTCATGTAACAAGCCATATAATTTAGGGTAATGTTTTTGTACTGTTTTGGTGAATGTATGTGTGCACGCAACAGTAATTTTCATTAACTTTCCACTTTCTCCCATCAAAACTGTCCTTTTCATCTATTTTCATGTTTTTGTTTTTGACTGTTACTCTGATCCTATGTTCCTGTTGATTGAAATTTTAAGTACCGCTAGATTACCAGAGAAAGTCACCCTCAAATACAGAATGTACCAAAAAATGTACTTGCTTGAGGAAAACAAAAGTAGTATTGTGTTTTTTCAACAGATGGTGTTGTATGGGACACTCTAGAGGATACCATGTATTACAGAAAACCCATTACACTCCAAGACCTTAGAGAAGAAATTGAAAATGCATGGGGAGAAATCTCAATGACCAAGATTACCCAAGCAGCAGTTCACTATACTAAATGTCTGGAAACTAATGGACACCACTTTGAGCACCTCTTGCAATTTTAGAAGGCAAAAGTACCTTGTATCAATCTCCAGATGTCTTAACAAATTCTTTATTAAAATATTTATGCAATCTTTTTCTGAAGTGAGCATTTATTTTTGGGCAAATTTTGTATTTACATTAAAGCATCCTGTGCATTACAAGTCCAATTCTCAGTTACTAATAGTGGACTTGTTATGAGGAAACAGATCAATAGTAAAATCACAGAAGAGATAGTCCAGGTTTGTTCTTAAATGAGTGTGGTTTTCTTTGGAGCAGTCTTAATAAACTTGTCAGGCAACTTCCATGGTCACTCAATGCTTGTTGATACAGCTCCTCTAAGAACGTTAATTCACAGTCATTTCTTTCAGGAAGAAACTGGTTTACTGCTATTTAGAGTTGCCATATTTCTTCAGGCACAAGCAACACTGTGAGTCATGATTAACAGTGAACAAGGTTTTGGTGATGTCAGTACAATTTAATGGCACAGAAAAGGCATTATTTTTTCTGGCAATAACACATATCTCTTTTGTATTAAACAGGAAGAATCTGAATACTTACATTATTTTTCTTTAGAGTGTTAAGATTGAATGGATGCAGGAAATTATTCCAGATTACTAAACCAATCTGAGACTTCTTGCATAAAAAATGAAGATTTCTGACTCATTGTCAGACAAATTTTAACCAAACAGGTATGGAATTGCTATCGCCCCTTAGAAGATGTGTTTGCTTGTTTGGCTGGCAATCGAACCAGACATTACAAGTGAGTTACAAATATGGATTCACTTTGAAAAAGGGGTGAGGAGAAATGTGGCTTGTGAATTGTGTAGTTTCTAAACATAAACATTCTAGTAGGGACCACAAAGACAGACACTCAACAACCTTGCAACTGTCTATGTATAGAAAGCAAAAATTCTGTGGTTTAAAATGCTCTCAGACATTGTATTTATATCACTCAAAATTCACAAGGTTACAGGTTACTGTTTTTAGATATCCTCAATTTCACCAGTGTACCAATTTTATCTAATGATTTGGTTTATTTGGGGATGAGAATATTATGCTGCAGTTGTTTGAATCATAAAATTAAAGCATGTCTAAAGTTCATTCTCACAAATAGATATTAGAGAAAGGATCTGCTTAGGCTTTGAAAATATGTATGAGTTAGAACTATAGGATTAAGGAAAATCATCTGTGCATTTGGGGAAATTAAAGTAAAACAATTATTTCTCCCAAACCCATCAAGATGTTCCCCAGTAAATAACATGCACGTGGAGTGGCTCATTGTGTAGAGCAGACATGAGACAACGTAACTGTGAAAATCAAGACTGAGGCTCTCAAAATTCTGCTTTATTTTATGATTGCTGGATTTTTTCCAAATGGAAGCAATTGGGGAGTTTTAAATAACTCAGTTGGTAAAAGTTAATAATCAGGCATCAAGACTCTACTTCTCAATGTAGAAAAGTGCATTTACCCTGTTTAAAATTTGTGTGTGTACACATGTGTATGTATGTGTGTGAGAGAGAGACAAGTAGAGACAGACAGAAAGAGAGAGGCAGAGAAACACAGACAAATTCAAAGGGTCTTTCTCTAAAGAAAATCTGCTAGATATATAACACCAGGCAGAAAATAAATGTCTTAAATAGAGATCAAGATTTGGAAGGTGTTCAGAACAGCAACAATGTCGCTCTATGGTTCTTTATTTTTTTTTTCACTTTTCAATCAAACAGTATAGCTGCTACATACATTTACTGAAAGAGGCTTATTTTAATAGATGAGAACACAGTTGAGATTGTTCCAATACAGGCAAGGAGCAATTTTAATTTAGGGCTAAATTTTCTCTGACTCAGTAAATGCAGCACTGGAAAGTATCTTGCTTACTAAATAAGATGGAAAAAATCTCTGATACTGAAATTTGCCAGCCTTACACTTCTACAGAAAAATACACATAATTGGTACCCCAAATATAGATATCTGCTCCTGGAGTACTCTATTCCTGAGTTGTCTATTTAGCCTGAACTCAGACCCTCAAAGTTTAACCTTTTGAAAGCTTATATTTTTACAATTGTGTGTGGCTTTTGTGTACTATTCAAATATTGCAAACCTTGTTTGGCCTTCATATATTTTATGTCAAACAATAGAGTAAAACTGACACACACATAAAATTGACATATCTGGTGACTCTTAAAAGTATGTGTACATCCAAGGTGTGAGCAACTAGGTAAGAAGGCTGATGAGACTTTTTCTCCATAAAAATAATGCACTTAGTAAAACTGAAGCTTCTTTTAGAGCATTTATTGAAGAAAAGCATACTTCAACTTGATGTTGTTAAGGTCAACCCAAAATGAGAAACTTAAGGACTCCAAGTTGTAACCAAACCCACGCTTGTTATGTGACCTTGAACAAGCCAAACAGGCTGTGGCCATGATTATGTATACAAACCACCTACATAGGGTGTCATGAGAAGGTCAGTGCGTCTATGCCAGCTGTTTTTGTTATACATGTGGAATGCCACACAGTTGTTCTAAGCATGGCAGTCAGCGTGGATGCCAATACAGCTGATGTGAACAGATTTTAAAAACACAATCATTCCATTGATCAGATAGGGAGTTGAAACAATTTTAAAAATGAATCAAGTACACAAATAACATTGTGACAAAGACTTTAGTTATGTAAAAGAGCTATATGATTGATCATATAAAGGAAGTAATTTTTTTAAAATTCTAATGTAAATTGTTTTACAGTAGGAGATTCCTACCAGTTAACAAGTACTTATTTTTATTAAAACAATATATGATAGTAAAGCCTAGAGAATACATCCTTCCTTTATAAAGTTCTCAATAAGTTCATATACAAAATCCCCTGACATTTTGAAAAGTTAAACATCCTTTAAGATTATTTGAAAGGCAATCCTCATAAGTGAAATAGACAACGCTCACATTAGTAAATATCACATTGTCTCTCTAGTGTAAAAAATAATAAATACTGAAAGTAATAAGATACAACATGTATAATAAATATTGTATAAATGAAAGAGTAGGAAAGTGTTCCAAAGGATATGAATGTATGTATAAGTGTTTAAAATAGATGACCATGTTACTAAATTTTTGTTGGATCATGGAACAGCATGGTTTGCACTGTCAATGTTTAAGTGTCTATCCACTTTTTATGCACTGATTTTGTAACTTGAGCAACTATTTCTAAGATGACAATATGCAATGTATCAACAAGTGATTTCTTAAGTGTGAATTTTTTATTCTTTTTGAATTCTGTATTATTTCTACCTTCTTTTCTATTTGTTTTTCTCTTTCTTTAAATAAAAAAAAATTTAAAAGGTATAAGTGATAAATTCATTCCTAGTAATGTGCTATAATTATACTTAAAATGTAGATCTAAATTATTAAAGAAAACAACTTACTAGTATATTTGCTTAGTAAGATAAATATATTTACTCAGCAAGATTAATGTATTTATCTTATTTTGTTTGCAGTCTATATTTCATTATAATCAACTTGATCTTAAAACATGATACAAATTTCTATGAAACACATTCTACAAAGTTTGACTCAGAAATTTATAATCATATCCAGTGTTAATTATTGCACATTGATATTGACATTTTTGAAAATCATAAGATTGCATTTTCATAATGTTAAATAAATGGTACAGATAGTTAATTCAGTAAAGGAAAAAATCAAGCAAAGTAATTTGTTTGAAATTTCATTTTCCTGTCTGTGGTAGTAATAAATGTGGTATCATCCTGATAATGTACACTGAGAATTATGCTGACTGTGGAAATTCATACTGGAACTCAGTATTAGAACTGGAAGAGACTTTTATGAAAATTAATGTAAATTAAACATTACCTTAATAAATGGAAAATTTTAGTAAGGTACGTGAGATTATATATCACTCATACAAATGTTACATTAAAATTTTCCTTCCTTGTTATAGTATTCTAAAAGCTAATGTCTAGACATTTTAAATGATGTTTCCAATCTATTAGGGATAATTAAAATACTGGTTTTAGTCATTCTTTATTTTTTCCACTGTATATATTTATTACCTTAGTTTTATAAAAATGCCTTACTTTAGTACATATTTAAGGTGTACAGCATGATGATTTAATACACAATGTAATAAATGATAGTAAAATCATTACTACAGATAAGCAAATTGATATGCTTAATA